AGGAGAAGAGAAAAAGGAGCACAGAAAATAATCAATAAACAATGGCTGAAAACATCTCAAATTTGATTTTAAAAACATGCATATAAACATCCAAGAAGCTCAGTGAATTCTAAATAACATGAATCTAAAGAGACCCACACCAAGACACTTTAAATCAGATTTTAAAGGCCAAATCAAATCTTGAAAGCATCATGAGTGAAGTGAATTGCCAAATATAAGTAATTCTTAGTAAGATTATCAGTAGATTTCTCATCAGAAACTTTGAAGGCCAGAAGGCAGTGAGCCAATATATGCAAAGTGCTAAAAAGAAAAAAAAAATACTGTCAACAAAGAATCCTATATCCATCAAAACTTTTTCTTCAAAAGCAAGGGAGAAATTAAGACATTCTCAAATAAAGAAAAGCTGAGCGATTTTGTGACGACTAGACTTGCTCTGCAAAAAAATGCTTAAGGGAGTCCTGCATGTTGCAATGAAAGTATACTACATAGTAATTCAAAGTTGTATGAAAAAATAAATATTTCAATAAATATTAATTATATAAGCCAATATACAAGCTGGCATTATTGTAACAATAGGTTTTAACTCCTTTTAAGACAATAGGTTTTAACTTTTTTTCTGCATGATTTCACAGACTAATACCTCTTTTAAAAACAATTATTAGTCTAAAAGCTAGTGTTATTATTACTTTGGTTTGTAACTCCAATTTTTGTTTTTACATAATTTAAGAGAATAATGTATTTAAAAGAATTATCAGTTTATGTTTTGGGGACACACAGTGTATCCAGATGTAATTTTGTGACATCAACCATTGATATAAAAAGTAAAATAGAGGTTCCTCTTCAAAGACTTTCCTCCCCGTCTAATTAGGAATAAATAGTAACTTCTCCTAAAAGCAAAATTTATTCAAAGACCTGTGCTAACATTCTTAAATATCTGCTGGCTGTAATAAAGAAATCAATGTGCTTTATGTTCTTAGCTCCCACAATTTAGCCTAAATATTTGCCCTGGCATGCTTATACTGGTCCAAGCAAGCACTAGGTCATAACCTGTTCCTCTTCCTTATTTAAAAGTGTGTTTATCTTTCTCAGCATTCCACAAGTTACTTCCTCCTTCCTTTGTTCTCCTCTACCTTTGCCTCTTTTAAAAAATTCTAAGTTGCTAGCCAAACCAGACAAATACAGAATGTGAGGTCCCGTTCCAGCCAATGGAAACCAGACACAGCAGTAGGGTGGATGCGTCAGGTTATATATATGACCCTGTCTCCTTTGTTCGGTGTACCCTTGTGGCAAAACTGCTGGCAAGTGTGCCCTTTCTGCAGGAAATAAAAATGGCCTTACTAAATAAATTAAATTTATGTTCAAGTGCTATTTCTTTACAGCACCGGAGAACAAGCATTTCAAACAATTGAGAAGGGTGAGGACAGAGCTGTAAAGGAGCAGAGTTTTTGTATGTTGTTAAAGTTAAGCTGGTATAAATGCAAATTAGAGTGTTATAATTAGGATGTTAAATGTAATACCAAAGTAACCACAAAGAAAATAGTTACAGAGTATGCACAAAAGGTAATGAGAAAGGAATTTAAACATTTCACTAAAAAAATCACTAAACACAAAAGAAGACAGTGATATCGGAAATGAGGGACAAAAAAGCTATAACATATAGAAAACAGCAAAATGACAGATGTCCCTCCTTATCAGTAGTTACTTTAAATGTAAATTGATTAAACTCTCCAGTCAAAGGACAGAGGTTGCCAGAAAGGATTTTAAAAGTAAAACAGGATCCAACTGTATGCTGTCTACACAGAGATTCACTTTAGACCCAAAAACACAAAAAGATTGAAAGGACGGAAAAATATATTCCATAAAAATAGTAACCAAATGAGAGCAGAGGCAGCTTTACTAATATCAGACAAAATAGATTTTAAATTTTCAAAGATTATAAGAGACAAAGAAGGACATTATATATTAATACAAGGTTCAATACAGCAATAATATATAACAATTATGTTTACACACCTAATTACAGATCACAAAAATATGAAGTGAAAGTTGCCAGAACGGAAAGAGAAACAGACACTTCTGCAATAACAGTTGAAGATTTCAATATCCCATCCTCAATAATGATAAGAAAAACAAGACAGAAGTAAGGAAGTAGAGGAGTTAAACAACACAATAAACCAACTAGATCTAACAGACACACCAAACACTTTACCCAGCAACAATAGCATACACATTTTTTCTCATTGCATATGGGACATTTTGCAGGATAAGTCCATGTGTTAGGCTGCAAATTAAGTTCAAATTTGGTATACAAATGCAATGGAATATTATTCAGCCTTACAAAAGAAGAAAATTCTGACATATGCTACAACATGGATGAACCTTGAGAACATTATGCTAAGGGAAATAAGCCAGTCACAAAAAGACAAATACTATGAGTTAATTTATATGAGGTACTTAGAATAGTCAGAGAGGCAGAAAGTGGAATGATGGTTGCCAGAGGTTGGGGGAGGAGGGATGAAGAGTTAATGTTTAATGGGTACAGAGTTTCAGTTTTACAAGATGACAAGTTATAGAGATGGACAGTGGTGATGGTTATACAACATTATGAATTTACGTAATACCACTGAACTGTACACTTAAAAATGGTTGAGATGATAAATTTTATGTTATGCGGATCTCACCACAGTAAAAAAAAAAAAAATGGGAAAGAATGTTGGTCATTAGGAATTAACCTTATCAACTTCTTTTATATATCTACCCCAAACCTCTTTAGAGTTTTACCCAGGTATCCTCGTCTCCTTTTTTAGAGGATGGCATGGCATTTAGCTATCTCCTACTGAAAAGCAGACAGGTTTCAAGTTAATAAATCTAAAGTTTGCCACTCAGTTATGGTGGGGATTATATTATATAAGTTTATTTTTTATCTCTACATAATTATTGAGAATTAAACATAATAAACAATATCTCTTTTTTTCTAAATGTGAGTGGCTTGCCTGTTACAAACGTGTCTCACATTAAGTGAAAATCGTTGTAACACAAAGATAATGGCTATACCCAAATGCAAGTTTGAGAGCAAGCCTGTTTAGATTTTTCAAATTACCTAAATAAAAACAGGGGTGTTTGTGATAAGACATTGGAATGAAGGATAAGAAAAATGGGAACGAACTGTAGTGAGTCGAAATTGGAGGAACGGAAGTGTTTTGTGTTTTTGCTCTTCTTGACTTCTAAATGCTTTGTGAGTGTAAAAATTAGAAACTAAATTTTGGCAACCTCTATATAAAAACTAAGGCTCCCTTCCAGATTCTGTACCCACTCTCTAGGTTGAATTCTTTGTTTTTCAGCTGCCTTGTGTCTTTATGTAATATGACTTTGTACTTCACAGCATGAAGGAAAGTGTTATACAGCCATTGGAGGCAAATAGATCCCTATTTGCTTTCAGGGTCTACCATTCACTAGTTTTGTGACCTGAGATATACCTTGAAATGTCTGCATGTCTGTAAAATGAGAATAATAATCCCTATTATTATTTCAGAGGATTATATCTTACTATTACTGAGAAAATAGTAAGCGAATCATAGCTAACTTACAGTTTTTTACTTTTATTATTTAAAAGAAAGTACATTGCAAGTCAGTAAGAAAAAGGTGGAAATCCCCTTGGAGTGTGATAACCACTTCATAAAGTAATCATCAAAAACACAGAAATTGTAACCAAATTTGAGCATATTAAACCCATAACACTTTTTCCATCTATATAATTGATAATGACTATTTGCCTTTTTTAATATTAGGAGACCATATTTAACAGCCATCCTAAGGCCACTTAAAATTAAAGTAAATCGTTGTGCATGGCTTAGAGTACACTACTCAGGGCAGATTTGGAGCCATTCTAGTAGCAAAGGGGCTTGGAGACTTCGTTCTGATTTATGCAGTTCGTCAGATGTTTTTAAGCAGCTGATACTATAAATGACCAAACAAGACAAAAAAAAAAAGATTATCAGAAGGCTTCTGCCTGAAAAGATGAATGCTAATAAAACATGATTGATGTCTTTAAGGCATTGAAGAGTATGCACTGAATAGTATATTCACTGAATTCAGGAATTTGAGTGGGGTAGTAGGGTCCTAAATGTTATTAGGAAGCCCTATTTTATACACTGAGTTATAAACACTGAAGTCATTACCTCACAATAGTTGATAAGAACTTGCACAACAGAAATGTAAATTTTATATTTATATCAGATGCAAACACAAAATATGATGATAGCAAATACAACAGAAATTAAGGTGGGCTTTTGTAAGCTCATATAAATGTGTGCCACAGATTGAATATTTTTAAATCCATTACACATGGTTCATAGAATGGTTAAAGCATCACATTCTTTTTAGTTTAGAATGACATTTTCTATTGTCAGATTGTTGAGGATAACCAAGAATTAGCACCATGGTTGCAAACATTTTTCTGTTTGCCTTTTGGACTCTGGAATCAAGGACTCTGGTCTCCTATGTGGAGAAGCTTCACCTCAGTCCCACTGCACTAGTAGTCTTCAGCGACAATATTTGGAGGATGACAGTTTGGATGATCATGTTAGTAACAATTCTAAGGAATGGAAATAGTCTATTCCATAATTAAACAGAAATCATAAACCACTATAAAAGTAAAGTCATAGAAAAAGAAAGTTGAAAATGTGAAGTCTCAAATGGTTTTATTTCATAATATATGAAAACCCTTGATTCATTTGTTCATATGCTGCTGTAGGTCAACTCCACTTACACATCCCAGTTTAGTTGAAAGGCCACTTTAGACAGCGTCCACTTCATTATCAACCCAGGTTCGTGTTTCCTGGGGCTGACCATGCTTGTAGGCTTTGGGCTGCGTTGGTCATGACTCACTTTACTCCCGGTAGGAAGTGATTTCTGGCCCGTGTGTGTGTGTGTGTCATGTTTACTCAGAACACCTGAGCATGTGGTCTCTCCCTGACCCTCTCCCTCTCTATTCTCCTCAGGACTACTGGCTGTCTCTCCTCTACAAGCGCCTGATTGGCCCCAAAGTCTTGGCTGTGCATGTGGCTGGGCTCCAGCGGAAGCCACGGCCTGGCCGAGTGATCCGGGACAAACTGAGGATTTATGCTCACTGCACAAACCACCACAAGTAAGTCCTCAGAGAGATGGCACAGAAAGGCCACCCGAGGGGCTCCCACCCCATTCCATTTGGGACCCCTTCGAGACTCATGTCCATTCACTAATCTTATCGAAAACTTTTTGCCGCTGGAATCACCATACCTGCTCTTTGCAGGTTTCAAATAATTTCTGGTAAATAGCTTTTACTCCAAGTAAATGCTCCCTTCTCAAACTTAGAGGATTAATCATAAAAGATTCCTAAAATTCTTGCCATTTGTTCATTTACTTATTCATCCAACACATTTTTATTGGGCATTTTCTCTGTGCCAGTTGATGTAATGCCCATGAGGCTTTTTTTGTGTGCCTAAGCTTCAGCCAAGTCAAGAGGTGTAAAATCTTTTCCTATGATCCACCAGCAAAGCTTAAGAAAATAAATCTCCCTTTTTAAGATGCATGCTGGAGAGATATGCCACTAGAAACCTAGCCCTAGACCAATGCATCTCAAGCTGGGTGTCCCCAGAACTAATGGAGTGCCCAGAGGTGGTCATGCCAGCTTTAGAGCCATTTCCAGTGTTTTGAAAATCTTTTCAGCTATTTTAAAAATTAAGAGGCTAAGTGAAATCTGGGCTTCCTTTTCTGAGGGCTCTGGACTTATAACAACCGAATGTGGTAGTGTGGGGTTATCCTTCTCTTTTTGATCTGAAGCACTGGTTGTCATTACAGTTGTCTTTAAAACAAACAGGAAAATTAATTATCAATAAATAAAGTTTGGCAGACAAAAAAATTTAACACATTAAGACCATAAGGGAAAACTTTAAATTGGAGGGAGGGGGGTGCCTAAAGCAAAATCCATCTGGCCAAATATGACTTTCTTACATCACTTCCTGTTTAAGGCAGAGTAGGCTGCCCTGGAAAAGAGAATTATTTCTCTTTCTCTTAATGCAAAGAAAACCTGGTGGGGGGATAACGGGGCAGGGAATGGTAAGCAAGTACCTCCAGCCAGACCTTCATTCCAGCCCAGGCCTATCGGGAGCTGATCAAGGGGAGTAGCTAGTACAAAGAGCTTGGAGTGGTCAGGTTACAACAGATGCTCCTTCTCCTTCCTTGATGAGAGAGGAGCCAAGCCAATTAATTTATCATGATAAGACTTTTCAAAGAATCACTCTGAGCAGAGCAGGGACAGGGGCCAGTTGTCTTGTCAGTAGATACAAGTGCCTATTGTAAATGAGGGGAGGCTGGCTTGGGCAGAGGCCAGAGGCTTTCAACATGCCTTTTGCTCAACAGGAAGCTCAATCCAATACCTGACAGAGAGTGACTGCTTTATGGCCTTGGCCTGGAGTTATCTGATCATCACACAAGGAAACATTGTATTCCTTGTCTCTGCCCTGGCCCTGAGGTAACCACCCAAAAGGTGGACCCCCAGACTCAAGATAGAAAAATTACTCTTGGCACCTTATATCCCTGTTGGAAAGCATATCAGTCTGTGGCCTTTATACTACTAGTCTGAGGACTCGGGGAAAAAATTATCTGCAGCCATGGGCTTAGCAGGGTTTGCGTCTCTTCATAGAAGCCTCCTCACATAATCTCATTCGAGTGTTCATCCTCATTCTTTAACATTCTCATGGGAAGTTGTTATTAATATTCTGAGTGTACTGTGAACTCAGGGCCAGTGTCTCATTCATTTTGTATTCTTGGTGTCTAATGTAGTGACTGGCATGAAGATCCCAGGAAAGGTTTGCAAATGAATGAATGAATGCAGAAATTGGGCATCAAAATGTTACCGTTGATTTAGAGTTAGAGCTTTCTTCCCCTTTGATATTACCACATCAGCCAAAAGGAAATGGTATGATGGGGATTCTACCATTCCCTAGTATGAGACCTCAAACAAGTTACTGAAATCTTCTGCATTCAAGACTCTCTGTCTACACCACCAGCTCTCCTCTAATTTCTATGCAGTCACTTCAGAATCTCTCTAGAGAAACGGTGTCACTGTGCTTCTATCAGTACAACCTCTCTCACTCCCTGTTAAAGAGACAGAAAGAAAAGACTTTCATAATCCATTCTACATATGACCCTAATGATAATAATTGGGGTGAAGGTGTTTTTGTTCCTATTAGATTCATAAAGAAAACCCACAGTGAATGCACAGAGCTAGCTGAGGTTTCAGGGCTCCTCTGTGTCAGTGTCCAGCTAGGGTAGCTCAAAGGTAGAAGAAGTATCTATTCACCTCTCTGAGAAATCATGTGCCATTAAGGAAGCACTGCTGAGTCATTTATCTGTGGCCAATAGGCCAAAATCACAGAATTATCCCAGAGTGGGCATGGTAGATTCACACTATTCAACCTTGACGAATACTCTGAAAATATTTGCCCCGCGTCAAAACAGGGATTGGAAGAGAAGGTATAAACTTATGAGTAGAATCATCCAGAGAAAGCGTCTATTAAAACAACAACCCCTGCACTCCAGTGTGTATTGAATACTTGCTGTGTGACAAGCATCTTTCCAGATATTTGCATTTATTTTATTGAATTTCAGAGGTTCTACGGTATCACACCTACATGCAAATAGCAGCATTAATAATGCAAAGAATGCTACATTTGGAAAGAGCCCTTAGAAATCATACGGCCCAGTGCCTGTTCAACACAGAAATCCGTTTCACATCTCCCTGACAGTCACGCAACCCCTATGTGGACACTGCCTGTCACAGCAGCCCCTTGCATTGTGGGTCATTTCTGACCTTGTAGAGCGCTGTCTCTTATGATTGATTTAGGAGAAAAAGTTAGACCCTTATACCACCACCAGCAGGTGCTTTTCTGTTTTCTGTTCTGGAATTAACAAATTAGGACACTGACAGAATGGCAGTTCTCACCCTCGATCTTCTTGCTCAGAGAACAATCAAGTTTTGACAAGGAAGCCTCTTTTTATGAGCGATTCTGCTGAGACAATGTATGTTTCTGGGGTGGAGATGAGGTCCTTCGCCAAGTTCAGAACCAATTGGAACCTGGTGGATGTTGAAGCAAAATTAAGCCTTTTGGGGTTCAAGTTCGTTTATTATTGGCAAAACATGACTTCCTGTTTTTCAGAAGAAGTTTTTTTAAAGGCTCATAAAAATGGTTCCTGAGGCTTCTTGGACATCAAATGGCTCTTACAAAACAATATTTTGATGAGTTAAGTGTAAATGAATCAGAAACATGTGGATTAAATTTCCCTTAAAATACACAGGGGCTTTGAAATTAAGGGAAAAAATGTTTGGCAAAACATGGCCTGGCTTTTACCGAACCCAAAACCTTTGAATTAGATTTGGAGACAATGGATCAACCCAGTTTCAAGCACATTGACTTTCAGTGGGAATGACCGTGGACTGCAAAGCATCATCCTCCCTTCCCTTTCCCAGCCTCCCAGCTTCACTGGAGACATTTCTAGAACATGACTGTTTTCTATCTGGAAGTCAAGATGCACCTCCCCATTTGACATTCCCCACCTCTTACATTAGGATATTCCAATTCCAGCCTCCCTTCCCTGACTCACTTCCCCCTCCTCCCATGGCAACACAGAGAAATGTCAGGCAGGAAAAGAACAGCCAGAAAAAATGAACTCCAGATACATGGATTCTCTGCTGGTGAAAAAAAAAAAAAAAAAATCTTACCCATGAGTGAGACATGGGGCAAGATAGATGATCCTCTCAGACAACTTCTCTCCTGAAAGGAACATTCACTAAGATAACCAAAAGCCACCTGGACTTGACAACATCAGAAGGCCAGCAAATGCTTGCAGGCCAAGCCTTCAGACACCATTTTCTCCAAGATTATTTTTCTATGGTCAGAGAATATATGTTTCTCAGGAATTTGGATTCGCAACACACTACTTTCAGGTTGGTGCTGCACTCCCCAGCCAAGAATGTGTCTTTGCAGCAAAAAGGCCTCGCTTAATGTCCTTGCCCACAAGCCAAGCAGGGAGAGGGATGGCTGAGGCAGTCTTTAATGCCAACTCCTACCTGAGAAGGTGCTGTGAGTTCTGAGAGCTTCTATATGTGGGTCTCTGGGCTGTACTGGTTTGTCTTCCCCAGGGGAACTATGTAAGTGGAAATCAGACCACTGCCAAACAGCTTGAAAAAGACAGCTTTCCCTGCAGCAGTGCTGTGATTTCAGGTCTCCCTCCCACCCACCACTTCCCCCCATCCCACCTTCTCTTCTGCAGTCTCTAAGGGCTCATTCTGCCCCAGCTCTGCAGAGGAGAAACTCATAAATGCAAGCACGTGGCTCTCTCCTCCTCCATTGCTGGCCTTTGAGAGTGTTGTTTGATGGTAGCTAGCAAAAGAGTTTACTGCAGTCTGGCAAAATTGATACCCATCCACATGTATTTTCTCCCACTCTGAAGCCTAGAGGTCCTGCAATTAATGGTGTCTTCCTCAGTTTTACAGATAGCTAAGCTAAGCTGAAACCCCACCAATGGGAAAGAGTCGATGTTCTTCTTTAATGATGGTCAACACTGATTCAGGCTGCCAGCATCCTTCTTCAGAGTTCTGGGGACACAAGTATGCTTAAATCAACCGGCATTATCTTCTGACCTAACTCATTTAGCTACAAAAGCTAGTTCACATGTTGCAGGGGATTCAGAAGGACTGGAGGAGGCGGAACCGGATGGAAGAGTCGTTTTAATAATTTATCACAGCACAAATGCAGGCATCCAAAAGCCTTGAACACAATAATGTACCCTCCTGCAGATGCAAGAAAAATCCTCTGACACACAGCCAGCAGGATATACTTCGGTAGCTCTTCTCATAATCTTAATGAATTGTTCTAAGCAAGTGGTTCCCAAACCCAATTCATCTGCCAAATATCCCAGAAAGACTTTTTTAAGTAGAGATTCCCAGTCCCTAATCCCAAATAGATTGAATCAGAATCTCCAGGGAAGAGCCCTGGAAACTGTGCTTCTAAACAAAAACAAAAACAAAAATAAAAGACTCCATGTCACCATACCCACCTGTCCTTGGTCACTCAACTCTTAATTAGCACCTTTAGAAGCAGAGGTGAGTGACCCAGGATGGAGGGGTGTTATTTCTACAAGGAATGATGCTTTCCTCTGGGCAAAGTTGACTTAGAGTTTCTCTGAACTCCTCCTTTGAAGGTGGGGCTGGGTCATTTTTTTGTTTCCTCTCATTAACTCATCCAGATGGGGCCCTAAGGGACCCCTTAGAAACAAAGTATTTTTTCCCACAGAGAGAAGGAAATCATTATAGTTTTCCTAATACATGCTGAAGGGCTTATGCATGTAGGCATATAGTTCTCTCAGACTTCTGAACGTCTTATGCTCATTTAAAAGAATTCCAAAATGGTGAATAGTTTTATAATCTTGAGGTAGGTAAAACAGCAAAAGAAGAAATCAGAAAGATAAATTTGACTACATAAAAGTTTTTTAACTTTTATATATTAAAATACAATGTAAATAAACTGAAATGGTCAAAGAAAACTGAGGGAAATTTTGCAGACAAAAGACTGCTCTTTAATAAATAAATTGTTTTTATAAATCAACAGAAAAATAGGCAAAGGTGTCCGGGCACAGTGTCTAATGCCTGTAATCCCAGCATCTTGGGAGGCCGAGGCAGGTGATCACTTGAGATCAGGAGTTCGAGACCAGCCTGGCCAACATGGTGAAACCCTGTCTCTACTAAAAATACAAAAATCAGCTGGGCATGGTGGCGCATGCCTGTAATCTCACCTACCAGGGAGGCTGAGGCAGAATTGCCTGAACCCGGGAGGCGGAGGTTGCAGTGAGCCGAGATCATACCACTGCACTCCAGCCTAGGTGACAGAGAAAAGAAAGAAAGAAAGAGAGAGAGAGAGAGAGAGAGAAGGAAGGAAGGAAGGAAGGAGACATGGTCAGCTTACAAAAGAAGAAATGAAATGGTAAATGAAAAAATGCTGCATGTCAGTATTAATTTTTAAAAATACAAATTAATACAACATTGAAATCCCATTTTCACCCCTCAGGTTGACAAAGGTATTTTAAAAGAGCATGTTGGAAGTGTTCTTAGGGGTATGAGTAAATAGGTGCTCTCATACAGAGTAGGTGGGAGCAAAATTAGTGAAAGCTTTCTAGAAAGTTAATATCAATGTAATCAAAATGTGTGCATCTGTCAGGATAGGTTAGGTTATGCTGCAATAATGAATAACCCCCAAATCTCCATGGCTTTCAATAAGAAAATGTATTTCTCATTCACACTACTTGTCCATCATGGCTCGACTGTACCTCTGCCCACATCATTTTCATTCAGCCTTTGTCAAGAACATTGTCAGTCTTCTGGCAGAGGGAAATGAAACATGGCAAAAGATGGACTGAGTCCTAAAGCTGCTGCCTAGAGGTTTTACCATGTCCACTCACATTTCATTGGACAAGGCAAATCACGTGATCACTCAGTAGGGCAGGAAGAAAAAATCTTCCCACAGGGAGGTGCACCACTGGGAATGAACTGGAAAATTTGGTGAGGAATCGTACAACACACATGTCCCTTGGACTAATGATTCCAGCATCTAGGACTTTATCCCTCAGAAATAATCAAAAAGTTTATACACATGACATAATTTATAATTGCAAAAATGTTCAAACATGAGTTGTTTGAACTGCAAATGTAGGGGATTAGTTAAATAAATTATGTTACACTTCTATGATTGAAAAGTTTAGGATTCTTCTACAAGTAGAAAAAGAATCACATGGGAATATGTTTAAGATGTTCATTAATGGAAAAAAACTCTGTGAATAATGTGATTCCAGTTTTGTAAAAACTGAGTAATAATGTGTCAAAGTACTCAATAAATATTTGTCAAATTAATAAATTAAAAAATACTGGAAGGATGTTTGCCAAAATGTTATCATATCTCAAGATATGAGGGTTATGGGGAATTTTCTTTTTCTTCTTTGTGTTTCTCAATATTTTTCCTTTTTTGCAATCAGCATGTTTTATTTCCATACTATGGTAATATATGCCATAAAATATATACATTATATTTTCTAAAATCATTGCAATAAATTTAAACAAAAACTAAAGAAGTATGGCGGGAAGTGGCTATCATCTTTGCAAGAAACCACAATGACGAGGCCTTCCTGTCTTTTAGGGTCTATGGTGGCCAAGTTTTTAAGTGCCATTTTCTGGGCTGTTCATATTTTGTAGCCTGTAAATTATTTAGGAGCATCTAACTTACCACTCTGTTTCCATCTTTCACTTCTCTCTTTCTCTGGATCTCAGCCACAACTATGTTCGTGGGTCCATTACACTTTTTATCATCAACTTGCATCGATCAAGAAAGAAAATCAAGCTGGCTGGGACTCTCAGAGACAAGCTCGTTCACCAGTACCTGCTGCAGCCCTATGGGCAGGAGGGCCTAAAGTCCAAGTACGTGCCAACCTGAAAACAGCTTGGGAGTAAGTGCAGCAGGAGCTGAGGGAGGGGGGAGCTGAAGACACCAAGATTGCTACTAATTCTTTCAAGGGCTCAGTGGGATGGAGTAGGACAAAGAGTGGTCTGGGGTCAGGTGACTGCTGACTCCTTTTGGAAACCTGCTCAAGCCCCTCCCTATCTTAGATCCCTCAATTGTAAAGTCAAATGGTGGAGAAAGTATTTCTCAACAAGGGTGCTCTTGGTATTTGAGCGAGATAACTCTTCTTTATACACGACTATCACATTGTAAGCTGTTTAGCATCCTTGGCTGCTGCTCACCAAATGCCAATAGTGCCCCATGGTCATGTAGCAACCAAACATCCTGGTAGTTGAGAACCATGTCCCTCACAGCTGTAACATTCTGTAATGCTATGACTCCCTTGTTGTTACCATCTATTAACCTCACAGGGCTTACAGGAAGGAGCACTAAACAGAGAGTTTAGTGCTCGAAAGTTCAGAGGTAAAGAGTCTGTCCTACCCCAATGTTTATAACTTGAACACACCACTGCTCCATCTCAGCTTCTTCATCTGAATAATAGGACAGAGATTTTAGTTTGAGGGCTCTGTGGCCCCTTCTGAACTCTACAAATGTATGATTCTGTGACACTCCCTGCCTCCGTCAGTCTCTATTAGAGACTATTGACACATGGATCTCTACGAACAGAAAAACTCTAGGACAGTGAGCAGGGCCTGGTCAAGGGCAAGGCCACCCCAGCTCCCCCAGTAAGGCCTCTCAGGAAGGGTATGGGATGCTGCACAGACTGGAAGCATTCCTATTCCATTTTTAATGTTTACCAAGTTTAACAAAGCTGTAAACTTGGAGCAGGTGGCTTGCACTCCAACAGCTGCCCACAAATATTTGTGCTATAATTATTCACTGTTTCACTGCAACTTTGGTGGCTTACATTTGGCTTCCAATTGTATTTGCAATGGGAGCGAAAAACAATCTGGGAAGTCACTTATTGAGTCTCTTTAGCCCACCCTAGATCTTCATTTTCAGTCTCGGTTCACATGCTGGCTCTTTTTTCTGGCTACATGTACATTGCGTCTGCTTTTCTTTCTTCCCAGTCCTACCTATGTCAGCAGGACTCTACTGAGTATTTTATCCCCTTTCTCTCCACTTCTGAGTAGTTCATGGTGAGTGTGCTGAATTCCTGGCCTTCATCCTAGGCAGGAGACCTGCTTCTGGTCCCAGCTTTGCCAGTAAATAATCATATGACCTGGGAAAATTATTTTATCCTAATCCTTTGGCCTCAGTTTCCTAATATTCAGATTTCAAGGGTTGTTGTATATTTGGTAAGGTCCTGTGCAGCTTGAAAACTCTCATCCTGGGTGTGATTTTCTGAGGACCATGAGTGCATTAAATGTCCTGCTGCCATTAAATAATGATCTGCAAAGCCATTTCTGACAGAAGGGCTGACTCTGCAGCAATGATTAGGGTCCTCTCATTAGGGTCCTCTGGAACCAAAGAGCTTAGGAGCTGAGCCTGCCCAGTGTCAGGAAGACTGTGTGCACTGTGTGGAGGGGACTGGCCAAATGCTATAGTCTAACAGGCCAAGGTGTCCATCCCTGCTCTGTTACTTGCTGGATGTGTGTCTTTAGGCAAGTTATGTCATCTCTGTGAGCATCAGTTTCCTCATCTGTGAAACCTCTTTTGTGGAGCAAAGTAAATGAGGTAATCTGTGTAAAGTTCCTGACACATAGTAAATGCTCAATAAATGTCCATTACCTTCCTTTTCCTCAACTCAGAAATCTAGCTGGTTGAGAAAGAGGAAGGATACAATTGCTTTCCCTAAGAATGTTCTTCCAAAGAGGAATGTTTTCAGACTTTTAAGATAATGTGTTAACAAGACATGTGTTAGGATTATGATAAAAAATCATGCTAAGAATTACAAAAAAGCAAAAGGATGAAACAGAAGATGATAGCCAAGGGTAGCACTTTTTTATGAGCTTGTTTTCCCTCCAACCAAGGATGCAGGCAGGCCTCTAAACCTATTTACCCCTCCCCTATGTCCCTGCCTCCAAGATGATTCCCCTGCTGTTTGGAGCTGGCCACACCTTAACCCCTGTCTTTCTATACCTATCCTTAAGAGTGACTGAAGGGACTGACTCCCACTGGCCAGCGATATGCCGTATGTTCAACTTTTGCCATCACCACACTAGTGAGGAGTTGTGTTACAACTTTGTTAAGAATGTAGGAGACCAGCCAGGCACAGTGGCTCACACCTGTAATCCCAACACTTTGGGAGGCTGAGGTGGGGGATTACTTGAGGTCAGGAGTTTGAGACGAGCCTGGCCAACATGGTGAAACCCTTTCTGTACAAAAAAAAATACAAAAATTAGCCAGGTATGGTGGTGAGCACCTGTAATCCCAGCTACTTGGGAGCCCAAGGCAGGAGAATTGCTTGAACCTGGGAGGCAGAGGTTGCAGTGAGCTGAGATCACACCATTGCACTCTAGCCTGGGCAACAGAGCAAGACTCTTGTCTCAAAAAAAAAAAATGTAGGAGAGGGACAAGGACAAAGAGAATTTCATTCTACAGGGATCCTTAAGAAAGATTTGGTAATGCCCACTGAGCTCAAATAATAATGTCAGGTAATTGGAAGAACATTGGAACTGGAATTAGAAGGTAAGGGTCTGAATTCAGATGCTACCATTTATCTTTGTGATCAAACCTGAGCTTCCTTAACTGTCAAATGGGATTATTGTGAGACTCAATTTGGAAAATATGGTTGAAATAAAGCCTTCCACAAATCCATGCATATGCATACATCTATAAATATAAATACAGATACACACATAACGATTTTACATATGTTGGATTAGAGAGTTTTGGATTGGAATTCAAGGGAACTGGATTCCAGCCCCGATCCTGCCACTAATTCACTGTGAAATGTTGGGGCCTTCATTCTTCTGAGTCTGTTCTGCCTATAAATTACTGCCAATTTAACACCTCTCCTGTTCTGGACCTCATTGGCTCGACCCTGGGCTGTGCCATGGTGGACTGTAAGCTGCCAGACAGGGACTGTCATGTATATGTTCAAGACCACATCTAGTGCTCTGCTTAGCAGCTACTAAAGAGCTGAGAGGTCTGGGATGGGGGTCTCACAGGAAGGGTGTGGTTTCAGTGAAGCAGACTGTGCAGAAAGGGATGAAAGGAAATGCTAGGAAGTGATTTCAGCCTTTGGTGTCTCTTTCTCTCTTTTATAAGCCTCTGGGGCCAGACTCTGTGTTCTATGTCTGCTAGTTCTTGCTACAGCTTGAAGCCGTATTAGCTCAGAAGGGGATAGAAAGTTCTGGGAGCAGAGGAATGTGTAATTGCTCCTGTCTGGAGGAACCAGGAAGAGGATATAGAGGAAGTCAGTGCCCTCCATCCCAATTCAAGCCACCAGTTGGGTGTTCTGGTCTAGTGTTTCAGGATAGGGAAAGGCCAGGAGACTTCTTTGATTGCTGGAGAACTTGGGGTAATTCTCATTCTCTTAGAATTGCCACTGGGCCTGGGAAGATTTAAAATCTCTGAAAGGGCCTCTCTATGTGAACTCAGAGCTAAGGTATGTCAAGTATCACACAGGAAGCACCCTTGGAGTCACTATTTAGGTATGGTCTAGGCAGCCACATTCACAAGAAGGTTCTTGTTTCCCATCTCAGTGAATGAACCAATTGTAAGACCCCCTACTCCAGTCCCAACTCCTTATATAAGAGACTGTTCTTATTCTAGGAACCAGACAAAAAGTGGGTGCTCTCTAGCCCATAGGACAGAAGTTTTAGAAAATTGCAGTGTATACAAATAAGAGTATTCTGCATCTGGAATACACATTCTTCAGGGAATAGCTGAAGGAAATGGGGAAATTTAGTTCAGAGGAGAAAAGTAAGGTAAGTCATGAGGACTTTCTTCAGAGGACTGCCAAGTGAAATTAAACAGTTTTGGCCTAGAACACTCCAAAATGACAGAAAACCAAGGAGTGCAATTTAAAAGAGATAGATTTCACTTCAAAATGAGCTTGTTTTCCAAAGGCTTGCCTGGTCTGACCGAGGTCAGGATAGGCTTTCTCAGGAGGCAGCCTATTAATCAGAGTGTGAGGAGCCATCTCAGAGGTGCTCTAGGATTCCTTCCTCAGTTGGGGGTTGGACAAGGGATTATAGCTTCCCTTTGAGCTCTGAAATTCTATTCTCTTCTGGTCCCCATTCCCCCTGCTTCCTCTTCACTTTTGGAGCCTGTGTTCTCAGTGGTCACCGGCAAAGGCAAGCCACTAAAAGGCCACACAAAGAGGCTCTATGACTAGAGGAAGTGGTGGCAGTATCTGGCTAGTTTTCTTTTCCAGAAAAAATCCAGCTGTGGGTCCCTCCCTCGTCATGTTCCCTGGTTTCTCACCTTTCTCGGAAGAAGATGGCCCCATTCACATCCAGAACAATAGTTCCCATTCTGGATAAGTCAGAGGAGACTTTGAGGGCATCTGCAAAACACAGAATCTACCCATTGCCTTGTGTGATCACAAAGCAATAACCACTGTCCTCTAGGGCAGCGGTCCCCAACCTTTTTAGCACCAGGGAGTGGTTTCACGGAAGACAGTTTTTCCACAGACTGTGGGGGTTGGGGGTGATTTGGGGATGAAACTGCTCCACCTCAGATCATTAGGCATTAGATTCTCATAAGGAGTGTGCAACCTAGATCCCTTGCATGTGCAGTTCACAATATGGTTTGCACTCCTATGAGAATCTAGTGATGCTGCTGATCTGACAGGAGTGGAGCTCAGGTGGTAATACTCACCCACCACTCACCTTCTGCTGTGCAGCCCAGTTCCTAACAGGATTGGTCCATGGCCCAGGGATTAGGGAGCCCTGCTCTAGGGAATCATTTGCACCTGATAAATATCTCCAGTGTCTCTCAACAAACAGAGAAGCAACATGAAGTTTGGCCTCACAAGCCAGCTGACATCTAAAATGAAAAGGACTTA